GTGTTTAGATATATTATGAGTACTATGGCGTGTGTCCTGGAAGTAACTGTGGTACGCATAACAGTCCATCTCACGGTGTTTGTGTTCAGGGAGAATGTTCCTGCTTTCTGCCATGGATTGGGGAGGAGTGCAATGTGGAACTTCTACCACCTGTTATTGCATTTGTCAATGACACTTCCATAAAGGAAGGGACGCCATTCAGTATACAAATTCAAACAGTGCAGGTTAGGAATACATTTGTTTTAGTAGTACATTTCTTGATTCTGGAGTCATCTTGGCGAGTTTACTACATGTACCTTATTTTCATATAGGGAAGTGGACCGTTTGAGTGGAGTCTTAACATGGCACCTATTGGCATGATTATCGACAAACGCACAGGGATGGTTACATGGTCAAGAGCAAGTGCAAACATTGCACCCCAACAGGTTACAGCAAGCTGCAGCAATATCATTGGAAGTGACTCTGTCACATGGACTGTGAATGTTCCACTTTCATATAATGCCACAGTCGATTACATATCAGTTCTGGACGTGTTGCCATACACGCAGCAGGTCACTATTTCTGGTTACATCACGTTCTTGGATGCTGATGAATATTTTATGAGGGGCACGATACCTGTTGATGTCAAGTAAGTTATAATCAGTTTTGTTGTCATTATTTACCGTATAGTATGTACGTGTTAATATGATAATATAATATGATATATATATTAAATTAACAGCTATTATTTTATAAATACTACATACATTCTCTTGTATTCGATAGGATACTCGGTCCTAATAATATGCAGGTTATAAGAACTACGACAGATCTTATCAGTGTTGGTTATTTCCAAGCAGTATATTACCCCGTTCCAAGTGAATATGGACACTTTGCAGTGGTAAGATAATTGTTTCATCGTTCATATAACTGTGAACCAGTGTGTAATTCAACTTTTTGACATACAGAGACATAATAAGCCCAATGACAATTACAGAAGGCTAAAGTTTCGGCAGTTATAATCGGAAAATATGGTTCGAAGTAATTCTGAATAAATAACGTGATTTCATGATAACGGTATTTCGTCAAGTATAGCTGGAATGTTTATTATACACGTGATATTACATATAATACTATATTAATATGTTATCGGTGCTTGTGGATTATCAAACACGTATATTATACCATTTGTGTATGTTTGTATATAACAGGACGCACGTCACCCAGCAGATGGGTCTTTTGATGGTAAATTATCTTGGCTGGTCAAGGGAATGCGTACTAGTCCAACCTATGTGACAGTCGAACGATATCTAGGAGACACCAATTGTATTAATATTGCCACTTTAATCAATGACGGACCACTACCACTCTATGATATTGCAGTACAGGTACTTTTATTTTTGACTTTGTATTTGCGGTTAATGCGTATGTGTGTATGTCTGTTTCAGTGTTTCTGTTCCACATCTCAAAAAACAATTGCTACTTGGTGCATATATATGGTTGAAATCCGTGCATAATAATTACCTGATTAGCATATTAATAGCCAATTTAATTAGACAATTAGCCATTCAACAAATTTCAATGAAACTTGATACGAAGATTTTCTGGAATAATGAGCAGACCTGATTAGTAATCGGTTTAAATTAATTCATAATAATGACCTAATTTGCATATTGATTAGTCAATTTTAAGCATTTTTACTTTTTTCTCAAGTACCCTTCAACATATTTTAATGAAACTGTGTATACAGATGGTCTGGGATTATACTCAAAGCTTAGTTTTGGATTTAAATCAGTGCATAATAATTAGCTAATTTACATAGTTATTAGCCAATTTGAAAAAATTTCACTTATTTTTCATGTACTATTTAACAAATTTCCATGATCCAATTTTCATATTAATTAGCCAATATTTTGGTTTTCCAAGAATATCTCAACCACTAGTCCGATTCATGGATACATAGCTGCTGTGGAATAGGGCCATATACATGTTTAGTTTAGGGTTAAATTTTGTTTTTACTAATTGCATAATTTGCATATATTAACCAATTTATAGGTGCTCCACAGTTAACATGCCACTTATCAAATTTTAATGAAACAAGGTATATATGTGTTTTTGGATAATCCGCAAATCTGATTATTTCAGGGCTGAAATCCATGCATATTAATTACGATATGCATAATAATTGCATGTGTCCTTCTTTATATGCATAACTATAATGTACTAAACGTTGCTGCAGATAGTGATATGCAACCACTGCTATAATGAAGGCATCTAATATCTGGGTTACATGACTAATATATCAGATGACTATACATGACCATGTAACCTCAATATTATGCATAACTGTAATATCTTAAGTCCTGTTATAATTTTGATTATTATGATTTTGTTGTCTGACAAGATACATGACCATTATACATGGTCATTATTTCATTAAATATCTATAATTGTACTATCTATTGGAACCATCCTGATCATTTATTTCACTTATATTCTTAAATGCTATATGTGCTCTGTTTGGTTGTGTCAGATCACCTAAAATATAGCATATCTTCAGGACCCACTATCATATAGAAATAATGCTTCCAAGTGTATCAGAAATCACGAGTTATCACCCTGTTTAATACTGAATTCAACTGCACATATTTCCGTCAATGAATTCATACATTCATCAAAATGACACATCGCAATTCAGCCTGCGAATTGCGTGAAAACACTAATGTAACTTCATATTAATTTTTATTTATTTATTTTGGTGTATGAGTGGATGTTTATGGATTTAATACGATTTCATTTAATTGGTAGGTATATGGAGTTGGACCACCTTTGGATGAAGTAACTGTGTATGACTGTAGTTCTAATATACTTGTTGGTTTGTTTGCAAATGAACTTGACCAGGCAGAGGAATTACCAATATGTCTCAACATGACGGCATCGGCCCCGCTCAGTGGTACATTGTCTATAATGTTTACAACACAAGAAAGAACTTTGGCTGAGGTCACAGTGTCACTAAAGTTTGAAGCCGTTACACCCGTCTTAGTTGCAATACCCTCATACCTGACTGGGAATGTGAACCGTGGGTCACAGAAACTATTTGATGTGAGTACAGCATCAGTATATATTTTAAAAATACACATATCCATGCTGGTCATAATGAAAACCGCCAATAATCATGACTTTCACAAAACAAACCATTTCTTCACAAAAAATACAAAATAACTGTATTGTATTTATTACATTACATATTCATCAGACAATTAATTCAGCAATATCTAGATTTTATAATGTTTCCCGGAAATAAATATTGTCCCATATTTGTTTGTCCATTGCAATTATTGTGAATCTATTTTGTTCTTGTAGATTACAATACAAAACGTCGGACAAATTCCTACAACTGCACTTATTGTGGACATTCCTAGCGAGATTGACATGACTGTTGTCTCACTCGAAGTAGATGGTATATCAAATGGAACGGACGTACGAATATTACCAGATTCGAGTGCTGTTCTAGTTATTGCTGTCACAGTACCTACTGATTTCAGTTTGGGAGAACTGAATGGAAGAATGACTGTCAGCGAAAACACTGTGTGGGTGGCAGTTAATTTTCATATTCTTGTGACTTCATCTTACAAGCTTGATTTCACCGTAGCAGTTGAAGATGAGTTCACCTACTTCGCAGATGGTAGGCCTCGTGTAGCTGATGCGCAGATACGTTTAGTTAATCCCCAGAATGGTGTGTCACTTACAGGAATGACGAACATAAATGGTGAGGTTATTTAGCAATCATCGTCTGATGCCTCGAAAAATTATATTACTTTATTTAAATGTAAAGTTGTACATGTTAGAATGAGGTATTTATTCAATTAATTAATTTATTTAATAAATAAATTTATTTAAAGAGGGTAGGTCAATATACAATAAAGTAATTTTCATTGGGCCCTTACGTATGTAAATAACAGTGATATATTGTGATACAATTAATAACCAAATCGATATCTTTTCAATGTATTAATGTATCCAAAGATACATCAAACGATACACAACAATATGTGTCATGCCTAACACTGAAGTTTCGTTTAAAATATTAAATTAATATCTCGTTATTCGTTTGTAGGAACTGTAATATTCCACGACTTACGTGAAGCGTACTACACAGTATTTGCTTCAGCAGATGGACATTCCAGCTATTCTGCCGTAATTCTATCCTCGCCAACCACCCCCGAACTTAGTATATTCCTATTTCGAGTTGCAGTAAGTTATACTTGGACTGTGTCGCCAACCACGTTTCAGGATTCCTATGTTTTTACCCTTGAATCCACCTTCGAAACAGAGGTAGGAATATTAATTTAATTTCACCTTTTCAAATTTATAAAAACAACAGCCACAATAAAGTAATTTACTTGTTTTACATACTGTGTCAGATTGTGAATTATAACGTCTACATTATATATGTCCTTGTTGTCATTTCAACATATACAAAGGTAATCTACAACTACCTGGACATATGCTGTGTCGTACTTACATACAACCTGTGCCAAGAATATATATTAAGGCTAAACATATATATTTTCAGATACCAATGCCAGTAGTGACAATAGAACCATCCAATATTGATCTTCTACCATTAGAAGAAGGCAGACAGGACAAAATAGACTTCATTGTGACAAACCATGGTCTCATAGCAGCAGAAGGAGTGACATTCACCCTTCCCACGGGTCACCCAACTTTGGAGTTTATAAAAGTAAGTCTAATTTTCAGCACAAATAACGTAACTTTCGAACTTAAAACGTTGATTTTTTTATCGTGCATTCCTTTTAAACTTTATTTTTTAAATGTGTTCACTTTCAGTTGGTTGATGATCTTGGAGATCTTGCGGCGAATTCCAGTATTGTAATACCAGTTGATGTGCGTTTAAAAACCTCTCGTCGAAAGCGTGATTCTTCGTCTTGTTATGTTGCTCCACTGGATTACTTTGTTATGTGTGGTGTGCCACGCACCGTTAGTGTTGTTGCTCATTTCATACATACAGTGTTGAGTTGTTTTACATTTCCCTCAAGTAAGTTACATCTATAATCATTGCAATTCAATGCAAATCTAGAATAGATTTTGTCAGACTAAGCTACCTATCTCTATACTAAAACCGACAGTAAACTCCTTATTCCCAGTATTTGGCTGTAAAGAGTCTTGTTTTGGTGTTCCAGTCAATTCACATATTAACAACCCTTTTATGTAGCAAAAAATCGTAATACTTTCATCTTGTTTGTATGTTTAAAGGTTCGTCTTCAGGCCCATCACAGATCACTGGCTTACCACAGATCAGTTGCACTGGATGTGGCGGCATTGGTCCTCCTTCTACCCATGTGACTCCAGTCGTGTATAACCCGGTTACTCCAATCAACTGCAATTGCATAGAATCGTTTGTAAACTACTGCATCATAGGATTTGCCGAGAGAATCATAACTTGCCCACTGAGTATCATAGATTTTGGCTTAAGTCCTTCTCTCCTCGGGCTGCTAGATGCTGCTATTGCATGTATAGGAGGAACCATATCATTGGTGTGGCAAGTTATAAGGTGAGTCAGGTGTTTCATTTTTGCAATACGTTTCTCCATATGTCTAGGTATGCAATATGAATAATTCATGAGTAAGTACAAATAGCTAACGTATGCATTTGTTTAAAAATCGCTTCATTCATTGTACCTACCATTGACTACATACATTGGCAGACACTCTGACTAGACGATTCACGTTTTGTTTCTCTCGCATGTTTCATGTATTTTAATTGCAGATGTATCAGTGAGACAATAATTAATTGTGGTGGTGATTCCAGACGAAAACGTGATATTGAAGTTGGATTCTCTCAGAATCTGATAGACCAGAGTAGAGTAATAGAGCATTATCACTTATTCGCAAAAGAAGTTCTTGGAAGTGATGAAATGTGAGTTAAACACATACAAGTAACGTAAGAGTAACTATAATTAGTCTCTACTTGTCCAATCGTTTTTAACCATTAAATGGCAAGAAAAAAACGAGTCATGCTCTATCAAACAACACAAAACGGTATTCTGCCGACTGCCCTACAGTTTCCGAATAATATATGCTAATGTCCCAATTGCATCACGTTATGCTCTCTGTTCTACTGCACTATATATAAATCAATAAACTTCATGCAAACATTCTTTTCCTTAGATTAAATATAACGGATGTGTCTTGGTATTCGCAATTCAAGTTACTGGTGTCTGATGACAGTCTAGGTGGTCAGCTGTTGACAATCGATGAATATGTTAATATCACATCTTCTGTGACGCTTAAAAATAACAATAGAGAATTGGTTGGCAGTTTTTTGAATCGCTGGAACAACACTGTGGTATCATGGGACAGTGGTATTTTGGAACGAGAAAATGAACATTTTGATATAATTTCGTATAGCAATGTGCATACCTTGGGAATGCAATTTAGAGATAATTTGGAAGTTTCTAGACAGGTACTTTGAATTAAGTAATATACATTGTGGTATTTCGCAAACAAATATTGTTATGTGCATATTATGATGTTTTATTTTGTTCAAATAGGGAGGATATGCGGATATGTTCGATCAGTACAATTCGGCATTGGAAACATATGTTGACGCTCAAAATTCAGGGGTAAGAAAATTGTCAGTGTTTTATAGCACGAGAATCATAACCCGTGATTAGTTTATATAATTATTTTATATTTCATGTATTTATTACGAGAAACATATTGACATTCGGTCTATATTATATCATTAAGTGTGCGGATTCCAAATTTAGTAAACATTATACTTATTGTAAACGTTTTTCCCTCTGTTTTTTATCTTCAGGATTCTGGTAAAGAAAGTATATGTGCCACAGTCCGCGTGCGAATTGTTCAAGAATTGGTCCTAACGCGAGAGGCCTTCAATGCAAGGCTTGAAGTAGAAAATGGGGAATCAAGTTCATTGACTGGCATAAAAGTAGTGATACGCATATGGCGCAATGGAGACCCCTTTGCTGTAGAAATGAAAGAACACTTTGCTTTCAGTAAGTTCAATAAACTATCCGAATATTTGTATTATTTCGAATATAGATAATTTTTCGTAAGTTAGGGAATACATGCAAAAATAAATATTAATTACTTCTATTTCATTTGTCAACCTCATAGGCGACCCGGAACTAATAGGTATTTCATCTGTTGATGGCAATGGTACATTAGCGGCATCAATCTCTGGATCAGCTGAATGGTTGATTATTCCATATTCTACTGCAGCCCCAGATAGTGACATATTGTACGATGTAGGAGGCAGTCTTTCTTATGCTGTTGGAGATGCAAGGATCACAGTACCATTACTCGCAGACACTATCACAGTAAAACCAGATCCGCAACTGCATGTTCATTATTTTCATGAGAAATATGTGCAAGGGGATGATCCACTGACTCAAGATGTTGTTGAGAATGTTGTTCCATTTTCTCTCGCAATTATGATCTCAAATGTTGGCTATGGCATTGCAAGAGAGTTGAAAATTACTTCAGCGCAGCCAGAAATTATAGAAAATGATAAAGGGCTACTCGTTACCTTTCAAATTATAGGTGCACAGCTTGAAAATGAGGACGTATCAAAATCATTGACAATCGACTTTGGTGACATTCCTCCACATAGTACAAAAATTGCCAGATGGCTATTGTCAAGTTCTCTCCAAGGTACATTCTCGAACTTCTCTGCAACTTTTGAAAACATCAACCCTCTAGGTGACCCACAGCTGTCCATTATTGATGTCCTTGAAATACATGAACTGTCACATCTTGTGAAAATGATAAAGAGTGATGACGGCTTTACTGATTTCCTCGTTAATGATTTGATAGACTCTAACAGTTTACCTGACCGTGTCTATAGCAGTGAAGATGGTGAGACATATGCAGTTCATTCAATCAATTGTAGTGTTAATGACTGCAATACTCACTTTTCGACACTTGGAGACTACCGTGTAGCTGAACTCGATGTTGATGTGCCATCAATTGAATGGGTCTATGTGAGAATGGATCTTGCTAATTATGTACGTCTTGACGAATTTCCAATTGCCCATGCTTTGGTTGGAGAATCAACTACACTGCTATTGGATTACAATGTCTGGGCCACAAGCCATATTAATTGTCAGCAACTACTCCACATATTTGACTATAATCCTAACATCACTTCCCATAACACCACTTTGCATAGCACCATTTCTTATACGGTTTTCTTTGGTCCTTTGAATGAACATACACCTTTTTTTAAAGAAAGCTTTTATAGAGTCGAACTTCCTTTGCATTTGCCTAATGGCACCGTTGTATTCAACATTGAAGCATATGATAGTGATGTTGGTGATGCTGGGGCTTTATTGTATTCATTATCGGATACTGGACAATATAATCCCTTTACAATTGACTCTCAGTCTGGTAACATCACAGTAATACGCCAAGTCCTTGTACACGAATTCCCCTTATCTTTCAAAGTCTTGGTTACTGATACCGGTATACCACAAAAACATTCTGAAACCAACATTGAAATACACCTCACAAGTGAAACCACACCATCCATTGCATCAACTATTTTTACCATGGTTGCAAATACTCAAACACCACATGCTGCTGCGACGTCAGAGACTCCAGTTCAAATACTGACCACATTGCCTATGACAAGTTCTACTACTTATCTACAACAACCAAGAGTTCTAGAAGTGGTTCCATCCATGGGTCCCGGATATGGTGGCATTACAGTACAGGTTAAGGGTGCCATGTTTATGAACGTAGGAGGTGGAGCATATCGCTGTCGTTTTGGGACAATAGAATCAGTAGGTACCTGGATGTCAGATGAACTAATTGTCTGTGTGCTGCCATCTCATTCTTCTGGCATCGTAGCTGTCAGTGTCAGTCCACCTGGTTTAGAAGAATTCACAGATGATAATGTAAGTGTATTAAAGTGCCTGTGAAATGGCTGCTATTTTCACGCCTAAAATTATCAATTGATACGTAAATATTATTAATTTTTATGTTTCTAAGCATGAATTATTTTTTTAAGTGAAAAAATGTGTTTTAAACCCAGTCTACGGCAACTTTATTTTTGTGTATTTTAAAACGAGGCTCCTCATTAGCTTCTCATTTGCGTACAGAAATTCCCCTTGTGACGTCAGAAGGGGAAGTCACATGGCAGCTTGCATTGCCGATACGTTTGAATAAGGGAAATTTCTTGTGCAGTTTTCTCGTCTTTGACTATATTGTCCCTTATGTACTTGTTCGTCGAGGAAGAATGGACCATAATGAACACATAGTATCAATTTGTGTTGCATGGGGTTGAGTTAGATGCGAAATATCGTCCGTTCTGGTGTAGCTGGTCACCATGATCGTCACCGACACCAGAGCACGTTTGTACACTGTTGCTGGACAAAATAGAATTTGACGTCGGAATTATCTCGTTATTTAGCAGGTTACTAGGCACGGCACTACACTGTTTTATTTCATGGATCGTCTGAGTAAAACTTTCAAATTAAAATAAAAGAGAACATATTTTGACATTCTAAACATTAGACTATAGTGATCACTATAAAATAATTAAAAAAACGACAAATCACAGTTACTAAATAAATGACAGCCGCGTGGAAATAAATTGACATTTTGTTGAAGTAGTGAACGCGTCGGGTCACGGCGAGGGCAAGTGCGTTAAAAGCGGCGTTTAATTGGATAACAAAATAATCGAGATCGACACACATACAGATAAATTCAGA